AACGACCATGAGACCTGCAGGCCCTTCACACGATGAAACTACCTGTGAAACATTTGGGATCCTGACCAATGTGTCAGATAATAAACAGTATACTCCAGTATACTGTTTGAGACAACAAATTTTTGTACATTTGAGATATTTTCAGAAGTTTTGTCAGATGTACATTGTTTTGCGTCCAAATAACACCTTTACATTTCACCACTCCCCTCTGTCTCTTCAAGTTTAGACACTTGAAATTCCAGGAGAAATTTTCTCCTCGAAGGTAACCTACTTCATAATCCTTGCCTTGGAATGAAAAAATTTGCTGTGAGTCTTTTCAAAGTGCACATTTCATTTCCATAGAAAAACGACAGGTGGGGAATGTATTATGCATAACCTAATGGAGCCTGTGCCAGACGGCTCAAACATGCATCGCAGCCAGAGGACTGAAACACTGGCTTTTCTGAACAATTGCCCACTTTCTTTTTATTTCTTCATTCTCCAAAACCAGCTGCTTCTATTTAAACCCAAAATGATCTTTTCATTCTTCTGTCCACTTATTTGGAGCAACAGACTTTGTGGCAGATTCTGAAAAAGTGATTTTCTGGACAAGGCATGTGGAAAAGACTGCTAAAAGATACTTGAAGGAAGCTACTTAGGTTGCCTACATCTTACTTGGAATACTGCCTACATCATAATCACCAGCAAATGTTAATTTCATTTGTGTTTCAAACAGAACAGAGTATTACCATAATTGTTTTGATACTGTGAACCTATTACTCTCCCTATTAATAAAATGGGTGTCTTGCACAGAAAACAAAACAAAAACTCCAAATATAAAGGAATGCATTGTTGTGTTTTAAACAGTCAGAGGGTTGTGTATTTTCACTGCCTTTTACGCTGCCACTGAACACTGGCAGCAGACAATAGGGTGTAAGTGTTAAGCACAATATTGGTGGAGGCTAGCAGTAAGACTGAAGGGATGCAAGGGCCCTGCAGCTTGATTTGATCTCTGCCGTTTCAGTGATATGGTAGGGCTGATAGGTGCAATCTCCACTCCCCATAAACTTAAACCCAGTGTAAATAGGATCTACATCCAAATGTATTTCCCAGTTCAGATGGCTTCTACCTACACTCCAATGGAACTCACATTTGGATGTGCACATTAAGTTAAAAACAAATAAAAATTTAGACAGCAATGTTGATTTATATGACTGGAGATCACATCTAGTTTTTGGAAGGGTGGGGTGCACCTGCTGACACCCTGATGGAAATGCATGCGCCAAAAATCAATTATTACAAATTCTATATATATTTATTGATATTTCATTTTAAATTACTCACTATAACATAACCAGGGCCGGCCCTCCCGCTAGGCCAACTAGGCACTCGCCTAGTTGGGGGCACCGAGTTCGCCTGGATGGGGGCACCGAGTTCGCCTCCCCCCGCCAAAAGCCAGCGCCAATCCCTGAGGCTCCCCTCCGCATCCTTCCCGCCTGCCCGGACCCTCTCCAGCGACCCATGGCCGGCGGGGAAATGCGCTGGCAGAGAGGGTGCATAAAGAGGGGAGCTTACCACCGCTTGCCGGAAGAGCCAAGGCCGCCGGAGCTGCTGCTGGCGCCACTAGGCAGGAGGTAAGCGCGCCCTGCAGAAAGAAAGCGCCATGGCCTCAGGTTTGCACACTGGGGGGGGAGGATTGTGTGAATGATTCTCGGTGGAAGCGGTGGAGAGATCACGGCCTCCGGGGGCCAAGCGACGGCGGCGTTTCACCCCCCTCTCCCTCCTCAGGGGCAGCCTGCCATTTGCATGGGCTCCGGAGGGGACCGCCATCGCCCGAGTTTCCCAGAGGGCAGCTGGTGGTGGAATTCCAGTTTCCGGGAATGATTCACATCACCAGATGGGCAACACTGAAATCAGATTGACTATATAATTTGCAGTCAAAGATGGAGAAGCTCTATCCAGTCAGTAAAAACAAGACCTGGAGCTGACTGTGGCTCAGATCATGAGCTACTCATTGCAAAATTCAGATTTAAACTGAAGAAAATTGGGAAAACCACTAGGCCATTCAGATTTGACCTAGATCAGATCCCTGATGAATATACAGTGAAGGTGAAGAATGGGTTTAAGGGACTAGATTTGATAGACAGAGTGCCTGAAGAACTATGGATGGAGGTTCGTGACATTGTACAGGAGGCAGCAATCAGCACCATCCCAAAGAAAAAGAAATACAAGAAAGCAAAGTGGCTGTCTGATGAGGCTTTACAAATAGCAGAGGAAAGAAGGAAAGCGAAAGGCACAAAGCTGGCCATGATAAAGGACAAAAACGGTAGGGACCTAACAGAAGCAGAAGAGATTAGGAAAAGATGGCAAGAATACAGAGAAGAACTATACAAGAAGGACCTCAATGTCCTTGACAACCACGACGGTATAATCACTGACCTTGAGCCAGATATCCTGGAATCCGAAGTCAAATGGGCCTTAGAAAGCATTACTAACAACAAAGCTGGTAGAGGTGATGGTATCCCAGCTGAGCTATTCAAAGTCTTAAGAGATGATGCTGTTAAAGTGTTGCACTCAATTTGCCAGCAAATTTGGAAAACACAACAGTGGCCACAGGATTGGAAAAGGTCAGTATACATTCCAATCCCAAAGAAGGACAATGCCAAGGAATGTTCAAACTATCGCACAATTGCACTCATTTTACACGCTAGCAAGGTCATGCTCAAGATCCTACAAGATAGGCTTCAGCAGTACGTGGACAGAGAACTGCCAGAAGTACAAGATGGGTTTCGAAGAGGTAGAGGAATTAGAGATCAAATTGCCAACATTTGCTGGATAATGGAGAAAGCAAGAGGGTACCAGAAAAAGAACTACTTTTGCTTCATTGACTACGCTAAAGCCTTTGATTGTGTGGATCACAACAAACTATGGCAAGTCCTTAAAGAGATGGGAGTACCACCTCCCATGTCTCTTGAGAAACCTGTATAAGGGTCAAGAAGCGACAGTTAGAACAGGATATGGAACAACTGATTGGTTTAGCATAGGAAAAGGAGTACGACAAGGATGTATATTGTCCCCCTTGCTTATTTAATTTATATGCAGAGTACATCGTGCAAAATGCCAGCCTGGATGATTCAGAAGCCAGAACATCCTGGCTGCAATTTTCTGTATCAGTTGAAGTTTCCGAACACTTTTCAAAGGCAGCCTCACATAGAGAGCACTGCAGTAATCTAGTCTAGATGCAATCAAGGAACGCACCATAGTAGCCATATCTTTTCTGCCCAGTAAATGCTGAATCTGGCTAACCAGTCGAAGCTGATAAAAGGCACTCTTGGCCACAGCTGCCACCTGCTTATTTAGTGGTAGGCCTGGATCCAAGAGCACCCCCAGACTACAGACCTGTTCCTTTAAGGGAAGTGCAACCCCATCCAGAACAGATGACACCTTCAATCCTGAATCAGACCTTCCGCCCACCAGGAGCACTTCCATTTTGTGAGGATTAAGCTTCAGTGTATTAGCCTGCACCCACTACAAAACTGCCTCCTGGCATTTGTTCAGGGTTTTTACAGCCTTCCTGGGATCAGATGGAAGTGTGAGACACAGCAGAGTGTTGCATGTGAATGCACATCCACATATTGGTGACAACAACCCAGCCCAAATCTCCGGATGACATCACTTACAAAAGGAAATACTAAAGAGCAGAGGGGACAAGATGGAACCTTGTGGGAGCCCATAGGACAAAGGCCAAGGGGATGAACAGCAGTCCCCTAGCACCATCTTCTGAAATCTACCTTCAAAGTAGGACTGAAAACACCACCAAACAGTGCCTCACAATCCCAATCCAGAAGATGGCACTTCTGATTATGTAAGGGGTGTGGCCTAATATGCAAAATATCTACTCAATATTCAATGCATACCCTTTTATGACTTTGAGATTGTTACTGGCCATGATGGAAAAGCCAGCATTTTCAAAAGCACTAGCATAGTGTAGTGATTAGAGGGCTGGACTAATACTGGGGAGAGCCAGTTTCAAATGTTGACTAGCCATGAAACCTATTTCGTCACCTTGAGCCACTACTTTCTATACTTTCCAGTACTTTCTACTTTTCATGATAATTTTTGTGGATCTGTTGTTGTGGCTAGAGTAGCAAAAGCACAATACCTTCAGACATATTGCTGCAGTCAAACTAGATGACATGTATTTTGAAAAATAAAGTACTAAAATGGTACTTGTATTTTGAATTTTTGACACGAACATTAAGCACTTCTCTCAATTACTCATCAAAGCTCAGACTCATCTGCCATGTGTTTATTGGCTACCATTTGGGCTGGAGGCCTCATTTTGAACATGTTCAGAGGGGTTTTCCTTTTCAGATGGAAGTGTTCGGTATGTTCATTAGAAAATGCCAATCTATACAAAATCATTATCCTCTAGATTCGGGCTATTATATTTTCAGGTCAAACTGCTTTCATTCTTTCTCTTTTCAAGTTCCTCAATAACAAGCCACTGTACAAAATGACTGCATGATTATTAAGTGAGAACACTGGTCTTTGTGATCTGAAATAAAATTTCTGAATATGAAGCTCACAAAAGCTGTGATCTCATTTAAGTTTACTCCTGTGTGTGCTCAGGTGTTCAACTGGATGCCCAAGATAGATTGTCAGACCTTATTCAGTTATGTTGGCAAAAGAAAGATCATCGTTATGACTACGCTGTGGAAAAAGCAAATATTTCCTTTAATGGATCTTGCTGAGTAAAAACCAGTCACAAAAAGGTAGAAACTAAGCATGATGTCCCAAAAAATGAGGAAAGATCCTAGTGCAAACACAGGACATGAGTTTACTACTTAGTGGGAGACTCTCAGGATCAAGGACAATGTATGCAACAACGGTTTTTAAAAGTGCAATGTCACTTCTCATTAAGGGTCAGATGTTGTTTACAAAGTTGCAATTAGCACCCCCCAAAAAAACATACATTATTATTATTTTTTAATCTGGATAAGCACATGAAAAGTTTTTACCTGTCCAGGTCAGTTGCTTGTCTTTCATCGCTTCTAAGAACTCTTAACACTTGAACATCTTGACTGAGAAAACAAGGAGGTAGCAATCCATGAATATTCAGCTGTTGCCTCTCTTCCAACGTGAAAGCTAGGCCCTGTAAGAAAAAATATATATTAAAAGGTGTTCAGTGAAAAGAACTTATATTTAAAATGCTGGATTCTTATCTCATCCATTCTTCATGAAGCTCAGGGCAATGTATATTATCTTGCTGCCCATATTTTATCATCACAACCATATGAGCCAGGTTAGATTAGGATGAGAAAGAACAACTGAGCCAAGGTCACCCAGTGGTTTCATGGGAGTGCGGATTTCAACTGGGGTATTTCTCATTGTAGTCTGACATATACACACTGTCTCTCTGCCAAAGGGATTCCACCCAAGGGATGCAAAAGTAGTCAGTTGTTACACATACCACTTACAAAGGGAAATACTTAACGTGACCTGGATAGCCCAGGCTAGACCCATCTCGGAAGCTAAGCAGGGTCAGCCCTGGAAAGTATTTGGAAGGGAGACCTCCAAGGAATACCAGGGCCGTGACACGGAAGCAGGCAATGGCAAACCACCTCTGAATGTCTCTTGCCTTGAAAACCCTATGGGGCTGCCATAAATCAGCTGTGACTTGATGGCACTTTCCACCTCAGGAAGCAATTATAGTCTCTGCAGCCAAATAATGGCCTAATCATAAATCCTGAATTGGGCTGCACAGGGTGAGAAATTGAGATTTAACACTTGAACCCGCATCTCGCTTCATTAATCAAAAGCAAGCCTCCTTCCCCTACTGTTATTAGAACCTTTTAAGGAAAAGACAGATTTTTAAAAGTACCCATTATCAGCACAGGGGCACTGAAGGCTATATGGGCACTGAAAGGTTATACCCCTGCCCTTCCCATGCGGCCCTGAGTCAAATTGGGGGCCATTTGGAGACAAATGGAGATTCATAGAACGTCCATTTAGACCTTCAGTACTATCTGGATAGCATTTCAGTTAATAACCCCAAGATTTGGCTCCGTATTAGAAAGCATATTCTGACTCATACCACATTACAAAAGTTCATACTACAGGCAGCCAAAGAGGGTTATGAAGAAATCTTTGCCTCACAGGTTTATTTTCCACATCTAGAATCCATATGTTGATAATTCATTTTGGACAACCCTGCAAAAAGGCTTTAAAATTCACACACTTCATATGGCATGGGAGCACCTTCTTGCTTAGCCTATACATTCTTTTCTTCCACACCCTCACATTTTTTATAAACATGGAGAATTTAACATTATGAAACATTTACTTCCTTTTGTTCTTGAAATTTTATACTGTGTATGTGTTGTACATGTGTATTGTAGGTTTTTGATGTGTGGTTAAATTATTGTTGTTTTCCTGGCTACTAAACAGAAGGCAATGATATTGAGAACAGTTCTATTCCATGGAGTTGGTCTAAAATAACATGGCTTAGGGAAACCACAGCACATGACAAAGGAATGGTAATGTTCCTCAGTGTTTGGAGATGTCTCTTAAATAGGTCTTAATTGTCGGGAAATGTCTCTGGACAGGAACCCATGAGAGTTTGGAGAAGGTGCCCCTCCAGCTGAAAGGAGGGGGGAGCGTATCTATGTGCATGCAAAGATATCACAGTTGAGATTCTGGCACACATAAGGCGAGGGGGGGCACAGTATGTCCCTGTTATGACATGGGTGAAGCACCATTGTCCCAGAAGAATGCTCACTAAGAATGAGGCACATTTCTGAATCTGAATCTAAGAACTCTAGAGGCTTCTCACACACAGAACAATTCCATTCACATAGCAGCAGGTTCCTGGAGAGCTCTTCATCTGGCCCATTCTCATTGTTGCTGATGGCAGTCTGTCTGCTTCAGCAACTTCTTGCTTCCCAGTACATTTTCTCCCTAGCTTTGCCCATTCCTCAACATTGTCTGCAAATATCATTTGGCCTGAGAGAGTCCCTTGGAAAACTGCATTTGGATTTTTTTCCCCTCAAAGGCTGCCTGTGAACTGCTTGCTCCTCAGCCTTCTTCAGTCACTGAGCTCCCACTTATGCAAGCTGTGCCTAGAAGCCACCCTGGAGCTTAGAATTAGCAGCAGACATGGTTAAACCACCATTTTTGCTTCCACACAGGACACTCTGCATAAAACATAATCTATCAATTTATCTAAAATGGCACCTGCTTTAACCAGCAGGCTATGAAGCTTGGCTGCTAATTCATTTATAAAGTACCCTTTCACAGATGATTCTTTCATAGCTTGCCACTGCACACAGGACCCTCTCTGCACTGTCAGATCCATATCTAACTGAGCAGGTTCTGCTGCTTTACTGAAGCTCATGGTCTCAAATGTGGCAGCTGCCACTGTTCTTCCTGACGCCTTCTTGCTTCTTGGGGATAAAATCCGAAGAGCTTGAACAGAAAATAGGAAGGAGTTTTGGGGTCACTCCCAACCACCCAGCTCATCCCAGGCAACCACATAACAACTGTACACCCTTGGTTTCACCACAGACACAGCCTTTCTTATGTCTCTGGGCTTAGCAACCGATCCTAGTGACCTTGCAGGTCTTTCTTTGGAAACTGAAACAAAACATCATCTCTTGCTCAAAGTAAAGAGGTAATCCAAGCTGTTCACTGCCTCCTTAGTGCAGAAGGTGCTTCAAAAGAGCCTAGGAGGCAACACCTTTGTATCTGCAGAGACCACCCATTTGGAAACAGCTGTATTCAGTGGAAGGTCAACAAGAGATGTTACTACTGCCCTCCCCACCGCACCACACCTCCCACCCAGAAGTCATAGCACTTAATACTTCTCATTCCCCAGATAGCTTTTAAAACATCATAGTATGCTACACTTGCCCAAGTAGAATTAAACGCTTGTAATTTGCGAAACCTTAGTAAGCACTGTTGGGCATACACAGGGTTCCCAGCCCCCAGGGAGGGCCTGCAGTTCTCCTGGAATTACAATTGATCTCTAGACTACAAAGATCAGATCCCATGGAGGAAATGCGAGCTTTAGAGGGTGGTTTCTATGGCATCAGACCCCACTGATTTCTCTCCTCCATCCATAGAGTTTCAGGTGAATCCTTGAGCATCACCCCACTACAGTGACCGCGCTTTTGGATTTGTGCTGTAAGTGAACCCACCCACTACCAGCAGCCAGCTTGCTACAAATTGATCTCTGCCCCATCTGAATGACCAGCAATCTTGTCGAGCAATATGACTTATAACATCTTGAAAGCAGGGGTAGTCTTGATAATTCTTAAGTCCTGGGTTTAAAAAACAACGAAAAAAGGATAATGTCCCAGAATCACTGCTAGGGATGGGCATTAACCGGCTCATGTACTAAAGTTTGTGATGAATTTTGGCTGGTTCGTGTTTCACAAAGTCAAGTCTATGGCAAGTCACCACCCATCATAAACTTTCCACAAACTTTCAAGCTGTTCATGGAGGTCCATGCAGGTTTGTAAGCAGAAACGTTTCCAGACAGTCGCCGCTCAATCAAGATATTTTCATAACTTCAAAGCAATAACTTGGAGGGCATGTACAGGAGCAACCGGGGGAGATCCTCTGCTACTTCGATGTCTCTAGCTTGCACAGGATCTGTTCTATACACTCCTGAACCTCAGTCATTTTGACACGCACAGGTTCTGGAAGTTCGAGACTGTATAGAATGTGCAAGCTAGAGACATCAAAGTCACATGGACCTCCCTCAGATGCTCTTCTACATGCCCTCCAAGCTTGATTACTCCAGCTTGCACATGATCTGTTCTATACACTCCTGAACCTTCCCCTGTCAGAATGACTGCAGTGGTCATTTTCATAGATGTAGGTTCAGGAGGTGCAGGAGTGCATAGAACAGATCCTGTGTAAGCTAGAGACACTGAATTCACAGGGGATCTATGGCTGACTCTCCTCTACCTGATGTCCACGTTTGGTGAGGATTGGATTTATGGGGTTCGAATAACAACCCCCCCCCAAAAGGTGCCCACAATAAAGTGCTTTCTGGGGAAATGACAGCAGGTTGGGGGGGGGGCATTTCGCCACCTCACAAACCTCACCAGTTCATGAGGCAGCTAATAGTTCATGACAGTCTGTGGTTCAAAAAACGAGCACACCATCAACCACGAACTGAACCGTATTTTTCCAATTTGTGCTCATCCCCAATCACTGCCACTAGCCCTGCTACCCCCCATGCCAGGGTTGGGAAAGGAGTGGTCCTCATCCTGTGCAATGTGGGTTGGAGCCACTGCTGTCTCTGGAAGCTAAACAGTCAGTCTTCAGATACGGAAGGCGGAAGTGGTGGCAGGAGTCTGCTCTACTTCTACCCTGGCATTTGAGGGGGCAGGGCTGTGAGCTAACAACAAAAGCCTTTATTTTGCTGACCAGAAAACGTTCAGTTCTCACATCAAGATGCTTTACATGAAACTAATTTTTTCCTGGCCATAGCTTAATGGCCAATTTTTATCTTTGTTGGTCTTAAAGGTGGCACTGGACTCAAAATTTGTTTTAAAAATAGCTCACTCGTCTTCCAGTTCCAAGCTAGCAACTGATGTTTTGTTTCATTATGCAAATAACTTCTGAAATACACATAGAGTAGTGGCATAAAACCAACAGTTTTGAGGTAGAAGTGGATTGGGGAAGAGCTTTTTCTAGTGCTAGAATTAAACAGGAAAGTATTGAGAAATGGAAAATGGAATATTTTACTATCTAAAGCATCGTATTCAGTTTAAAAGTGTGATATGGAATAAAAGTAAGTGGAATACTGAACGCACAATCTGAAGATAACTTATCACACACTTTCTAAAACTGCTGCTGTATTTGCCTAACATCAAATGCTTGTTTCATCTATTTTTAAAATGCAAGTTATAATTTTATTATTGATGTAACTAATTTAAATATTTTGAACAGGAACAAATCTTAAAAACCTGGAATCTGCTCAAAAGGTAGCAAAATAAATTAAATTCCCTCTCCTCTGCTTCTCAGGTCTCATCTGGCTAGTAAACAGCCAATTCAGCAGATTTGGTGTGAGAAAAGTTTATCTGCAGACATCCCTTAAGATCTGTTCATGGGTTTGTTCCAGATCTCTTTTAAAAGCCAAAT